AAAAAAAAAAAAAAAACAGAAAAGAAAGGAATTTATTTATTTATTTTTGATGCCCACAAAGAATAATTAGACTGTTACAGGTCTATTATTTCTAGATAGAGCTATACAGTGGCTTTATGGGGACTTCTTTATGTGAAGATAGCTATAAACTATAAGAGAACATTTAAATCCCAAACTATTTAGTCAAAATGTGGGTTTAACCCACCTTCTGCTCACCTGATATGTTGTCCTGCTTCCGCCGATGAAGTCTAATAACCTTCCCCCTGCTCATTCCCCTAAAGAGGGAAAATAAACTTAAAGTAGTCCTTCCAGCAACATGCAGCACATCACATCATACATGGGATAAGTGTCTCTGCATAAACTACCCCCTCCCTCCCACCTACCAAATGTTTCCAGGACATTAAATTTCATATCAAATTCAATAGCTTTAACATCAATCTCTCATTCCTTGTTGTCAGCAATTCTCACCTAGTGCAGAGAATTCGAGCCAAGGAGCACTAAGGAATCATCTACATTAACAAACACAAGAAAGAATACTTTGAGCTTTTCCCTACTGATAAGAAACCCTAATCCCAGCAACCCAGGTTTGAATTCAAATGGAACAGGATCTTACCTGCACTTGTCACAGTTGAGAAGGAAGCCATCCTGAGAAAGACCACAAGGACACCAGGTAGGAACAGTCTCTCCTTCAGAGTTCGGGCTGTCTCCACAGCGTTCCTCTACGGGCGACGGCAGGCCATTCAGGTCAGAACGAGGGATGATCGTCTGGACAGGGGGAGAAGCAGGAGGTGTCGGAGGAGGAGGGGCTCCGTAATTATGATCCTGAAAATAAGATTTTTTAAATCAACAGTGTCCAAACACTGGCCCCTCTCTCCCCTAAAGTATGGTACATATGGAAAGAAAGAAGAAAGTAGTACCCTTTGTTTTTTGGCTTCAACCAGGAAAGTGATAAAACAAAATGCCAAGGTCAACTGGGACATAAAAACAAGAACAATGATGCAGGGCTAGACGTCCGCTGGAGGCAGGGAAGTGCAAAAGGGGCAACTTCGTCATGCTGCATATAAACATTTCAAGAAAGTCACAATGTATAAGAATGGATTACACTCCAGGAAGATCACTGCTCTGGAGAGAAACAAGTGCATACTCACAGCATAAGGCAGTCCTCGACACCCATGCCTCTGAGTGGTCCCATAATTATGAGTGGAATACACGCTCTTCTCATTAACTGCTGGACTAGCCTCCACAGATTCAGGGCTGCACAAAGGCGAAAAGCAACGCATGATAGCATAACACCTACTCTTCCCTTAAATTAACAGTTTATCTCCCATCCTAACCCCTTCTCTTTCCACAACCACCAGCCACTAGAATAAGAAAGAACTTAGTGAAAGTCTATTTAACATAACTCAGCCTATAAATAATAGTGTTATTGAATGTGGATTTGTGTGTAACATGAAGCCAGTACAGGCAGATGTCTCAAGGCAGGCACCTGGGATACAAGGTGTCCCTAATGACAAACACAAACGTACCAGCAGAGCGGGGAGTTTCCCCTAGAGAAGCCACTCTGGGCTGGTTTAGACTCAGAACTATTCTTCTTAATTGGATCTCTTAATACTTCCATGAAACCTCACATGACATTTGCAGTGAGTGAGATGATGAAAGTGCCTTCTGCACTGCCCCAGGGACCAGGCCCTCTTCCATTCACTACCAAGACAGGATACCCTGAAGAAAGTACAGGCAAAAACAATGGCATCTTATATTTATCACACCTCGATCTTGATGAACCCCCAAATACCTTTCACATACTAGAATTTCTCATCCACCAAGGACATGCAAGCATATTCAAGGACACAATTGTTTAACAGCTGCATGATAGTAACATAGAACTTCAAAATAGTCAAAACTGAACTTGGAAGTTAGATTTGTTTCATGCTAAATAGTAACGGTAGCTACCATTATGAATCACCTGTTATTTGGGTCTACCATTTATTACTTCATTTAATATCTGTGATTATTAAATATGGGAAGCAGCACTTCCTTTTTACAGAGGGAAGTGAAGCTGAGGTGGTGAGATTACATTTTTTTCCCCCAAATTCATATGCTGACAGAGTCAGGATTTGAAATAAAGATATCTGACTCCAAAACCTCTTTCTTTCCCATTATGCCTTCCTTGAAAGCAAGGACAGCATTCTATCTGTAAACTGTATTTGAAGCCTTTACTAACCAGGCTCATTGAGAAGCTTGGGTTAGTTTTGCTTTCTGATACATCCTAGACGAGTAGAAAATAAACTGTCCAGGCATTTTTTTTTTAAATTAAAGAACCAAATACACTTCCAGTAAATAAATTTGACATAAGCTATACTTGATAATAAAAAGGCATCCACAGTAAAGAAAAAAATAGATTTTAGTGAAGGGTAAAATAGGTTTTTGTTTGTTTACTTCAACTTTACTTGGTTAGGTTTTATGGAGTTTTGAAGAAAAATTAAGGAATGTAATTGTATACCTTAGCAGAAGTGAAAATGGATTATATTTAATGTATTTCAACTAGAACAAAGATTTACCCATTAGCAACTCCAAGGCTCAGTGTTAATGCAACTCCAGAGATCTAAGAGTTTTAGGGAACCAAATAATTCAGTTTGCTTCAAATAACCACTTGCCTGCTTTAAGATATACAAAATACACAACACTGAGCAGGAGTAAAGCGTGCAATTCAATGTAGCACATTAACTGCTAAGTGAGGGATAAAGTAAGATTCTGAGATATGTATCAAACTCACCTAGTTTTATGCTCCACAACTGTGAGAAGGGGTCTTATTATTAACAGCAAAGGTCATTTCTAGGTGAGGAATTTAAGACATAGGAAAGTATTCTCTGTTAGTGAGGTGCATGCACTTTAGTAACTGACAGGGTCTTCAAAATGGGAACTGGGAGTGGGGGTGGCTGGGAGGAAAATATATCAAGAATGCAGGTCAGTATTCTTGTGAAAAGGATGATCTGAACATGGGTCACTGAGACAACTGGCTGAGTATTAGGAAACAGGTAGAGTTTCCTAAATGAAACCAAAGGCAGACAAGCATTAATAAAATGAAGGTAGAATTTAGTTTCTATGATGGACAGTTAAAAGAAAGTAATGGATTAATATATTGTTATTGACTATGCATGTTGCTAGATAAGTAATCCAAAGGTTTGTACATATTTTTAGGTAGGAGAGTTTACACCATTAAACACATGGGGTGAAATAAGAATTTATTAGAAATGAATTCTTTGTGGGACAGAAAAAAATAAAAGTTGCATGAAATAAAAGATGGCCATGGAGATGGAGCTATGTTGGTTATATCTTACCCATCTCCAAACTGGGTAAATATGTACATATGCACTTCATGTGCAAGTCTAGGGAATAAAAATAAAACGTATATTGTGGAGGTTAACAGGCCATCCTACTGCTCAGTAGTATGTAGTCAAGCACAGCATTTAAAATATTGCCATGCACGTCTAAACTAACATTTAAACATATATTCAATGAAAAAACTTTATAAAGTCTATACCAGTTAGGGATTAAATAATTACACATTGATATACAGTGACTTTTATGTATATTTTAAAATACAGATTAAAAATTTACATTATCAAGACTTGGGAATGCAGCTCAGTGGTAGTAGAGTGTTTATCTAGCCTGTTTGAGGACCTGGGTTCAAGCCTCAGGACCGCAAAAAACACTACACACATACACACACATACACACACATACACACACATACACACACACACACACACACACACACACACACACAAAGGAGTATTAGGATTGCATGTCTTTTATTAGACAACTATTTTATGCAAATAATTATTTCTTTTTCTCTTCTGTGACTAAAATGTTGTAACTGTTGGGCATACACAGAGAAATTGGGCTCACAACAGATACAGTCCATCAATTATGTTCAGTGAACAATATGCAGCTTGCTACTATAATGCAACTTCTTAGAAAATAACAGAAATTTTGTAATATAAGAGATGGAAAGATCTTTTTTGTTGTTATAGTTAAGACATTTTCCTATAAGTGTGCGTGTGTTGTAAAATGTAAACTGCTAGAATCAGAGTTAATAATTTCATGAGGCAAGGTATAGGTTTCTTCCTTGATTAGATATGTTGCCTTTAATACCAGGTTTAATCTTAACAGTGCTTAGAACAATGGTTAGGCATGATGAAGTACAAATATCATTAATAATTAATAGACTAGCACATAAGCTAAACATCTGACATTAGTGCTCTTTATAAAACTTCTCAACAAGAAATGTAAAATTGGTTGTGACTATAGATAGTACCAGAACTTTGGAGACACAGGAAGTCCTAGGACATGGCACTACACTCATAGTACAGGCCAGACTGTGTTCATTCTTGCATTATTCCTGGATTCCCCAGTACATGCATGTAACTACTGTTATATTTTGAGAGAAATATTAGTTCTAAGAATAACTGCTGAGTCTTTTCCTCACCTACCAATTTCAAACTTACTTGTTTAAGATCTTTATTTCTCAAATATTAATGAGATCTACTTATACATCATTTGCTAATATTGTAGTGGGTTATTATTTGACTTTATAAAGGCCCACAACCACTATACAACTGAGTTGGCTATCCTATAACACAGACATTTAAGTACTTTGTTTTAGAAAAGAGTTATATAATTGGAAGTCTCAGCTAATGGCATTTAACTAAATCTTGTTGGCATGCAAAAAACAAAAAACCTAACCATCCCACAAAACCAAACCAAACCAAAAAATTAACAACAAAACAAAACCTCTACAATGAAGACAACCAGTCTTTCCTATGCCCCGCCCCCCACTGTTATAAGCGAAGAAGCTTAAAAATTGTCTTTCAATTTCAGACTACCCCAGAATACTATATATTACTTTCTAGGGTAGTTTCATGTCTTCCTCTTTAAGGAAGCCAATAAACAGTCAACAGTAGGCAGCTTTATGAAGAAATATACATGCTCTTTAATAATATCCTCAGTTTTAAGGAAAACACTATGAACAAGGGACGCCATTCAACCCAGAATTCTGGAACAGTTGCTTTGCTTTGCTGAAGGGGGAAAGAATTCCCAGGGACTGAAAATGGCAAGAGAAACGGGAATTAGAGCAACACCCACCTCACTCAAGAAGTGGCTGTGGGATCAAGAGTCTGAACTGGACCTGAACATATTCAAAACACCAGGATTTTTCCAGCCCAGACCCTAATCCCTGGTACTGCCTGGAATAGACTTGGCTTCTGGGGGTGTGCTGCCCCCTAGGCCCCTTGGGTCTCTTTCGCTGGACTTTCACATCCTGGTGTAGTGCCACTTCGTCTTGAAAGGTAGGGGGCTTCCACTTCCTTTCTGTAAGCAAGGAAGATTGGGTACAAGGGAGGTAAAAGGACAAGAGGGGGGAATCTGTGAGCGGGGGCAATCTTGGACAACTTAAAAGAGAAGGGATACAAAAGGCTAAAAAATTTTAAACTGAGTAATATATAAAATTGTATAATGAAGGCCTACCTTCATTGTCATTTGGCATTTAAATTCTTCAAGAACTGAGTCTATTTTAGGGATTGGGCTTTTCGACAAATTCTGAATTCCTAATGCTGCTCTTAGCTGAAAAACAAGTTTGGTACCACTGACTTTGAAGGTCCTCTTTCTAGGCAACGAATATTGTAAAAACAGATGGTACAGCTCTCCATGTCTTCTACCCCAGAGTGAGCTGGTTAAGCAGTTTACCCCACTTTCAGCCCCTTTACTCTAGAATAATGTCAAGTACATAGGAAGAGGCCTTCAAAGAAAATCAGTTGGAAAGAAAACCTCCTATCTCTCTAATCAGAATGGTTAACTCTTTAGAAGGAGGTGGTACACCTACTTCATTTCAATCTTCCCCACCCATAAAACAAAGAAAAAAAATGTAACCATTGCTTTGCAACTTTGATTATATTTATTATGCACCCAGAAATCCCTCCTTTAAAGTTCCTTTCCTCCCCCTTCTAATTCCTTTGTCCCTCCAGCTTGGGGGCAGGGGAAGGGCAAGCCTATTGTTTTCTGAAGTGGGATAGGTTTTAATTAAGAAAATATTACATATAACTTATGAACTGCCCAGAAGAAATCCGTCCTCACACAAACTTGAAACAATCCTATTATCTAGGAAGTAGCACTTACTCTGATCCAGCAGCCATATCTGAGTAGGATGTATCTGGTGTGGTGACTCCCAGAGGGATTGCAATGCTCATGACGTCCAAGACAGCAGTGAGTGGAAATCACGGGGTCCAATTAATGGAGACTGACCACTCAGAGAGTGGGGGTGAGCTGCAGAGCCTGAGCCAACATGTTACGGACATGAGGAATCCTGCCACAGAAAAGAAAAATAACCACTGACCAGAGAGTTTTTTAAATTTATTTTAAACGCTGTAGGATATTTTCCCACTGTTTGAATGAGATTTTTGGTGTGCTTGTGCACAGTGTATGCACATCAAGTGTGTAGGCTTGAGTGCACTTGTGCATGTACATGGAAACCACAGGGTTCTGGATATCTTCTATGGCTCTCAAATCCTATGCAGTATCTTGGGGGGCCAACAAGCTTGGCTGTCTCTGTTCCCACCAACACTGGTTAGAGGTTTATGAAACCATGTCCTCCTGTCTTTTACATGGATGCTGGCTAGAGATTTGAACTCAGCTGCACAAGTGCTATTTATCCACCAAATCACCTCTCTAGTCCCTTGAATAAGGTTTTGAAGAATAAATCTAGTTTACTTTGTACTCTAATTTAGTAATGTTCTACAAATTTCTGTTTTAATTATTTTCTGTTCTGTCAAAGCAAAAACAATGGTCTGCCAGGTTCACTGACAATAACCATGTGCTCTTTCCTCTTTAATTGTCTAGCAGAGTTTTCCAATAGTCTAGGATATACCAAACAAGCCTTAAGATTCAGGGTGGTTATCAGAAATACCCTAGTTTTATTCCTTTATAGTTCCATTTAAACTTCTCCCTAGGTAATCAATAAAAGTAGCTTTATCAACACTCAAGATTTTTCTTCTAAAGTAAACCTGGCAGAGATCAATTAGCTGTTTATATTTGATCAGATAGCCACTTCTATGCGTTGACTTATTTTTAAAAAATGTTTATGAAAAATAAAGGAAAAAAATGTTTATGTATACGGGTGTTTTGTCTGTATACTACATGCATGCATGCAGTGACAACACAGGCCAGAAGAGGGCACTGGATCCCCTCAGGCTGGAATTTCAGACAGTTGAGAGTTGCTATGTGGGTGCTAGGTATTGAGCCCAGGGTACTCTATAAGAACAACCAATGCTTTTAACTGCTGAGCCATCTCTCTGGAACCCCCTCTGACTTAAATAGTCTTAACTAGACTTGGAGCAAGATGAAATTATCCAAAAAAAGTCTTTGGGCAGCAATATACACCGATAGATATGAATAAAAACATAAACCACAGGGGAAAGCTAAACATGTGTGGGAGCAGAAGATAAACAGAAATCTGTACTTCCTGTTCCAATTTTACTATGATTTAACAACTGCTTTAAAAAAAGTGTACTTTTTCTTTGTCTGAAAAGTAACAAAAACTTTCATGACAAAGACTAGATATTTTTGCATTAAAAAAGGCAATGAACATACTGATTTGGTAGCCATAAATTGGTATTATTTAAGAAGAAAAACTCATTGAATAGTAAGTAGGAAAAAAACAAACAATTTAAGAAATTTGGAGATAAAAATAGAATCTTCATGATTCACATGAGCAGTATCATAGTAACATAAAAAGAGCCACTAAAGCATGAAACAAGAAGCATTTTAAGTCAATACTGTCAAAGACCTAGGCTAAAAAGGGTCTTATGCTAAGACAAGAGGAAGTCAAATAATTAGGCAGTGGTGGCATATGCCCTTAATCCCAGCACTTGGGAGGCCAGCCTGGTCTACATAGTGAGTTCTACAACAGCCAGGGCTACAGAGAAACCCCGTTTCAAAAACCAAAAAAGAAAGAAGTCAAATAATTTTAAAATGAAAAGTATAAGATACTAATTGAATTGATTCAGGAATTAATGAAGATTTTAAAAGTTACTGATTTGAGACATGTGAATTTCATTTTTATAAATGACACATATTATTGTGGCTAAGAGAACTAATTCTGAATGGTGAATCAGTCCAAGAATTAAGATTGATTAACGGTTATTACTTTTGCACTGTTAGTTCATAAAGCTACCACAGCTATAAACTACAATATTTTTCTGTAGGACCTGGGCCCCCTCAAATAGGGCATGGGAAAATACCCCTTTCTCTTCCAGCTCAGGATGACACTGTTAGACTGAAATTGAAATACAAACCAAGTCAACTTTCCTATCTACTTATTATAATTTATGATAGATATGACTACTCCACTTGCTGTCTTTGGACCAACTTGCAAATAAATTAATGCGCCCCCCAGTAGTCAAAAGAATTCTCAAACACCAAAGCCATTGGCAAAATGACAAAATCTGCAAATGACAAAACAAAGAGACAACCTACAAATAAGGTCAAAGGGCACGCTGAAGGATACTCCCTCTAATTTTAGCACTGTTAGATAAGTTGCATTAAGAAAAGTCGGTCTCCTGAGTCCTGGGAAGACCAGCTAGCCCTGTTGCCCTGCTGAGCAGTTCTTCCCAGAGAGATCCCTCATCTGGCGTTGGATGACGATACAGATGGAGGCCCGCGTTGGAGCACCGAACTGAGCCCCCCAAGATCCAAACGAGGAGCAAAAGGAGGAAGAAAATGACGAAGGACTGCGAGGGATACTATCACCCACTGATACAAGGGGTCGGATCTAATGAGAGTTTACCAAGGCCAGATGGACCGTGACTGAACGAGCATGTGATCCAACCAGATTCTCTGAATGTGGCCGGATTTTCTGAATGTGGCTGGCCTGCAGTCTTTCCGAGAAGCCATTGACAATGACACTGGGACTGGTTTCCTCTGCATATACTGGATTTTTGGGATCCAGTCTGTTTGGATGCTCACCTTCCTGGACCTGGAGTGAGGGGGGAGGAACTTGGACTTCCCACAGGGCAGGAGACCCTGACTTCCCTTGGGGACAAAGAGGGAGGAGGAGAGGGAGGGGGGGAGTGGGAGGGCGTTGGGAGGAGGGGCGTAAATGGAAACTTTTTATAATTTAATAAAATTACAAAAAAAAAAAGAAAAGTCTAGAAGTTGCTTGATCAGATAACCAGAAGTCCACCTGATGATCATAACCTGACTAGTCAAAGGAATCCAAATCTGAAAAGGCCTTTAAAAGAAATGACTTGATCCTTTGTTACAGTCACCACCAGCATACATTCATAAAAATATATATCCATCCAACCACACATCTGCAGACACACATACATACCTAGGTTGATAGCTAATTATTTCCCCTCTGACTATACTACAAGGCAAAAATGGCAAAGTTACTTCAGGTAGTGCCTCCTTTCAAGAATGAATAAATTTGGCCAGGCATGGTGGCGCACATCTCTAATCCTAGCCCTTAGGAAGCCAAGGTAAGCAGATCTCTGTGAGTTCAAGGCCATCCTGGTCTACAAAGTGAGTTCCAGGGCAGCCAGGGCTATACAAAAAAATCCTGTCTCAAAAAAAAACCAAAAAGAAAAAAGGAGAATAAATAATTCTATATCATCTAATGAAATCCTAATATAATTGCTGAGTGTGGTGGCACACCTCTAATTCTAGCATTCAATAGGCAGAAGGATCAAGAGGGGCCAGCCTGGACTACATAGTGAGACCTTGTCTCAAAGGTAGTGATGAGATCTTATACCAACTATCTGGACAGCTGACACACATCTTTAAGAAACATTTCTCTTCATAAATTCTTTTCCCTTTTGTCCATATATACTTGTCTAATTATACTACTGTTTACTGTTCTGATGAAGGCAATTGTAATAGGCCAGCTTGACCATATTGTTCTAAATCATGTTTCCATAATGTTTTGTTTTAAAATCTATTCATTTATGTTTATGGCTGTTACATCTGTATGTACACCTGGGCATCAGATCCTGTAGGGCTACGGTTATGAACAGTTGTTGGGTGCTGGGATTTGAACTCAGGGCTTCTGAAAGAGCCGCCAAAGCTCTTAACTGTTGGGTCATCTCCTCAGACCTCACATGAAGAGGTTTCTTAATTAAAATTCTAATAGAAAAATTCTCTTTATTATAAATAGTCCCTTCCCTGAAAAATGGTGTGAAATGCAACTATCTAAATGTTAATTGAGAACTTTTACTAGATCATCTATATACAATGTTTTTTTTAAAAAATATTTATTTACTAGGTATACAGTGGTCTGCTTGCACGCATGCCTTCAAGCCAGAAGAGGGCACCAGATGGTTTTGAGCCACCCCGTGGTTGCTGGGAATTGAACTCAGGACCTTTGGGAGAGCAAGCAGCTCTTAACGGCTGAGTCATCTCTCTAGCCCCTATAACACCTATCTCGTGTAAGAAATCAGATACTCACTCTGGTTTATTAAACTTAGAGCAACTATTCATTTAACCTCATGTTTGGAGATGTGCCCTAGAAAGAGTATAAAAACTCTCTAGAGGAAATAATTTCAAGATATCATTTACTCCATTACTCAAATTCTTTCCACCAAAACACAAACCATGGGCAGGGATTTTTACAAAATATATTTTTACCCACTGCTGTAGTTCTAATGGCCAAATACTATGTTTGACACAATCAAGAGGGATCAGGACAACATTTACTAAGAGAACTCATCATGGTAACCAAGTTTAGCATTTACTAAAATCTAAAATACAACAAATGAAAAGGATTTGGGGCAGTAACCTTTGATTCCCCCCCCCAATTATCTGACAATAGCTCTGAAGACCTAGAAAAAGCTGAGACACAAATTAGTATACTAAGAAAAACTGATGGGTTAAGTACAAAATGGAATCCTACAAATGAATGACAACTTTATTTCTGTTTGCTGTACTGCCTTGTTAATCACTTTACTTTCCATTTAGCACCAAGCCTAACCTTTTAACTATGGTTTTAGCAATGGTGTACGCTACACAAAATAAACTACAGACAGGAAGGAAATGGCCTTGATTTCCAAGGTGATGAGATACTATATCAGGCTGTCTTTCTCTTCCCTTCAAATCAAAACTCTCCTGTTTCCCAAAGGATTCTCAAAGGTTTTTTTCTCTCTTTACTTGAAGTTTGTCACCTACCATCCCCAAACTAAGTAACTTCCTTTTTCTTCAAAGTCTCTGTAGCCCAAATTAGCCTTGAATAGGTACCCTGCTGGCTCAACCTCCCAAGTGCTATTACAAGCATATGCCACCACACCTGACAGACCGCTTTTCATCAAATACCAG